TCTGACTTCTGGGGAGGCAGGTGATTAAGGCCACCCTATCTCCTGAAATTCCTTCCCTGATACCAATTAAAAGTTCCTTTCTTGCCGTAAGCAATGCAGACTCTACGCCCTCGGGAAGACTGTAAACCTTTCAGTTATATATTCCTTTGGCAAGCCAGTCCCTCACCTGAACACTACTTCCCACTCGCTCTAGTCCTTGTTTCAGGAATTCTGCCCTCGTCACCATTAGAATTTTCCCTTCTTCATTGGATCTTTCTCATCGGCATACAAACATACTGTTATCTCTTCCGTCTTAAAAAAACAACTCTACTTCACTTTTCCCATCAGTTACTTCCCCATTTCTCCTTGAAAGTGTTGTCTATAAATGGTCTTTCCAGTTCTTCTTTCCTGTTCCTCTCATGTTATTTCAGTCAGGCTTGCATCCCAAGTCCAGGATATCTCTCCCCCACCACTTCCATAGTCTTCCCTTTATTTGGTCTTAGGGAATACTACATTTACTTGGCTTCCAGGATACCACACCCTTGTTTTCTTCCTATTTTATTGTTTGTTCCTTTTTACTGTCCCTTGTTCATTTTTCTTCTCCCAGGCCTAGTAGAGTTGGAGTGCCCCAGGGCTTGGTTCTTCTCTCTAGTTATACTCTCTTCCTTGGTGATTGTAACAGTCTCATGATTCTAAGCGGAGAATATATGCCTATGACTCTCAAATTTATATTTTAAAACCAGAACTCTCTTCCAAACTCTTCGCTCCTGATACCCAATTGCCACTCCAATAACTCCACTTAGATGTTTAAAAGACACCTCAAGCTTAACCTAGCCATGCCTTCCTGATCTTCCCCACTCCCAAGTTTGCTCAACTGTACCCTCTCCCATTTCAGTTGAAGGAAACATCATCCTTATATTATAGTTGCTCAAGCCAAAAGCCCTGGAGCCATCTTTGATCCCTGTTTCCCTTCACACCCCAAATCCAAATTCTGTTGTCTCTACCTTCAGAGTATATTCAGATTCTGGACCCCTCTCTCCACCTCCACTGCCACCATCTTGATTACAGCCACCTCTGTACTATGCCTGCATTTCTGCAATATCTACCTGACTAGCTTCCCTGTTTCAATAGTTGCCTACCGTCTCTTTTCATATAGCTGTTCAGGTGATCTTGATAAAACATAAGTCAAAACATCACTGCCGTGCTCAACCCTTTTCAGTGGTTACCACTTCACGAGGAGACACAATCTCGACTATGACCGGCAAGGCCCTATGTGAGCTGAATCTTTTCCTGCTATTCCTTCCCTTGCTCACTCTACTCCAGCACCAGTTATCCTCTTCCTAGTCCTTGAACATTCTAGGCATTTGTTCTGTCTGCTCTCTCTGCCCGGAATGGTCTTGCTTAGGACATCTGCAAGCCTAACTCCCTCACTTCCGTGAGTCTTTGCTCAAGTATATAACTGCCTATAAAGGCAGCTACCCTCCCCCCCCTTTTTTTTTTAAGATTTTATTTATTTGACAGAGAGAGA